CCCCAGCCTCGGCTACTTACACCCGCAGCGTGGAGGCGCAGTCCTCCTTGAGCATCGAGTCGGCCAGCGGCTGCAGAAGAGCATCCTCCTTGCCCACCAGCTGCCCAGAGAGAGAAGGCGGCCGCTGTCCCTCTGCAGAACATGGGGATCCGGGCACCGACCGAAGGCGGCCACGACCCCCAGGATTCTGGCTCCTGCTCTCAGGGCGCCGTTTACCGAGAGAAGACTCCACCGGGCACGGGTTGAGCGCCTGCGGTCTACACCCTCCCCGGTCCTTCCAGCTCAGCACTCGCTACTTCCCGACCTCCCGCTGACCGCCGGGCCGCTCCGGGAGGCCAGACTCAGACTCAGACACAGCAAGTCTCTGCCCGGCTCGGAACTCGGCCTCCGGGCCAGAAACCAACCAGAAACCGGGAAGAAAGCCCGCCGCGCACCTATTGGTGGGGGCGTCCTTCCGCCTCAGAGAGCGGCTGTTCCGATTGGGTCAGAATGTGGCTGTCCCGCCCACCGCCTCTTCCGGAACAGCGCGCGCCCGCCCCCTGAGGAGCGCCGAGAACCGGGCACACCGACATCCCAGTCGCTGGCCGAACCGCCGCTCAGGTCGTGCGCGCCTTCCTTTCAAACCCCGCTGTGGCCCCGCCCTAGTGCTCCGAGGGGCACGTGACCCTCCGTGGGCGGGGTTTCCCGTCGCCGAGCCCTTTAAAGGAACCGCTGCCTCCTTTTCTGAGGGTGTTCCAGCCCTGGCCCCCACTCCGAAGGTGCAGCCCATGGGGCAGGCCTTCTGTTTCACGCCTCGGAGAAAGGAGGTGTGTAGTGATTCAGTCGTCCATTTATGCTCATTCACCAGCCTTGCAGCTGCTCAGAACAAAACCCTGGGGTCATTCTGGGCTCAACCCACAACCGGTCCCTAAGCAAGCCCGCGGATTCTGATCTTCAAATGGACCCAGAAGGTGACCACGTCTCACCGCCTCGCCTACTGCCTCCACCACCACCAGGACAAGCCACTGCCATCGCCTCCTGGGACTTCTCACAGCCTTCTCACTGGCTCCCCGTTTGCAGCCTGGTCCCCAGGGCTCCAGGCTGTTCTTCACACAGCAATCGGAGTCAGAAATCAGAATGGGCCGCATCGCATCTCTGATCAAAACCCACCAGTCCTTCCCATCTCACAGTACTTCGCATGGCGTTGAGGCTCTGCGTGCTCTGGCCCCCGACCTCATCTCCTGCTCATCTCCCTGACCTCATCCTCGGCTCCTCTCTGTCTGACATCCCCTCTAGCCACCGGGGCCACTAGGCTGTTTCTCAAATATTCAGGGTACCCTCCTGCCGCAGGACCTTTGCCCCCGTGGTCCCCTCTGGCTGCAATGCTCTTCTCTCAAGTAGTCATCTTGCTTGTTTCCTCACTTAGTCATGTTTCCGCCGCAGTGTCACCTTGTCAGAGGGGGTCTTTCTTAATTACCTCTCCTCTCTCTACTAGCAAGTCCCACGCCCTGGCCAGGTAGCCGAGTTGGTTAGAGCATCTTCTGAATAAGCCAAGGTTGTGGGTTCGATCCCTGGTCAGGGCACATACAAGAGTCAACCAATGAATGCCTAAATACGTGGAACAACACATTTCTCACTCGCTCACTCTCTCTTCATTTCTCTCTCTCAAATCAATTATAACTAAATAAACAAAATAGCAAGCAAGCCCCTCCAGACTCCCTATCTACCCTTTTCTGCTCTATTTTCTCCATAGCTCTAATCCCCACTTAATACATCATCAAAAGCTGTGCAGCCTCTGGGATTTTACCATACTTAGAAACTAATAAACTGTTGACTACGGTTTGGTAATAGTCTACCATTTCACGGATGCTGGCAGAAGCCACGCGGCTCCTTGGTGAGAGACAAAGGGCTTTATTACTCGGTAAAAGCAGTAGCCACGGCTTTGTGTTTGTGTCCGTTCCCCATGTCCTGCAGCCCCCACCAGGGACCCGTCACGGATGCACGTGCGCCTGTGGATGGCATTACAGGGTCTGAGGTTCGCTGCTTTTATAGCGAGTGGGAGGCCTGTTCTTTCCCCCGGGGGAGATGTTACCTCGTTCCTCAAGGTTGCCGGCTGCAAGCACAGCCCTGAGAAATGGCCTGGGCAAAGAGCTTCAGGGTCTTGCTTTTCTGGCAGGCTGAGGGATACTCAGGGCCCGTGGCAGAGGGCTTCTCCCAACAGTTATATAAGCACTTGCTCCTTATCTTTGCAACGAGAGCACAAGAGGGCAGAGACTGTGCCAGTTTGTATGCCCAGCACTTTAAAAAGTGTCTGGTACAGCCCTGGCCAGTGTTGCTCAGCAGTTAGAGCCCTGAAAGGTCGCTGGTTCGATTCCTGGTCAAGGGCACATACCTGGGTTGCAGGTTTGATCCCTGGCCCCAGTTGGGGCTTGTTTGGTAGTCAACCAATGGATGTGTCTCTCTCACATCAATGTTTCTCTCTCTCCTCTGTCTCTCTTCCCCTCCCTCCTTTTTTTCTACTCTCTCTGAAAAGCAGTGGGGGGCGGGGGGAGTTTCTGAGGCATGGTAGTTGCTCAATAAGTATTTGTTGAATTAATGGATTGATTTATATTCAATGCCCCACCCTAAGAACACGGATGAATCAGACATTATTGATCAACTCAATGTACTGGGAAGTCAGACCGAGACCTCCCAATGTGCTCATTGCTGTGCCACCTGGGAGAGCAGGTGCACCCTCTCTGTTTAACCTAAATTCTTCTCACTGCAAATGAAAGAGCTGGCAGTTAATGGCTTCATGGAACCCCTGCTCCAGCACAGACGAGTCTTTGATTCCCCAATGGCCGGGGGGTGGAGGGGACACCCGGGAGTCAGGTGGTAACGAGTGCTATGAAAATAAAGTGAGGCAGGTGAGGGCACAGGTAGAGGTGCGTAGGAAGACGTGCCTTAGGTCAGAGGAGGCCTCTGGAAGAGGGTGATGTTGGAGCAGATGCCTGAATGCAGTGAGAGGAGCCAATGAACTATGTTGAAGCAGGTACCTGGGTTGCAGGTTTGATCCCTGGCCCCAGTTGGGGCTTGTTTGGTAGTCAACCAATGGATGTGTCTCTCTCACATCAATGTTTTTCTCTCTCTGTCCCTCTTCCCCTCCCTCCCTTTTTGCTACTCTCTCTGAAAAGCAGTGGTGGGCGGGGGGCAGGGGGAGTGTCTGAGGCATGGTAGTTGCTCAATAAGTATTTGTTGAAATCCCTAGTCAGGGCACATACAGGAGTCAACCAATGAATGCCTAAATAAGCGGAACAACACATTTCTCACTCGCTCACTCTCTCTTCCTTTCTCTCTCTCAAATCAATTATGACTAAATAAACAAAATAGCAAGCAAGCCCCTCCATACTCCCTATCTACCCTTTTCTGCTCTATTTTCTCCATAGTTCCGGTCAGGGGATATGCCTGGGTTTTGGACTCGGTCCTTAGTGTGGGACATGCAGGAGGCAGCTAATTGATGATTCCCTCTCATCATTGATGTTTCTATCTCTCTCTCCCTCTCCCTTCCTCTCTGAAATCAATAAAAAAATATATATATTTTTTAAAAAAGAACATTCTGAGCTGGCCCTAGCTGGTTAGGCACAGTGGATAGAGTGTTGGCCTGCAGACCAAAGGGTCCTGGGTTTGATTCTGGTCAAGGGCAGGTACCTTGATTGCAGGCTCCTCCCTGGCCCGGGTCCTGGTCGGGGCTCATGCAGGAGGCAACCAATCGATGTGGTTCTCTCACATCGATATTTCTCTCTGTCTTTCCTTCTCTCTTCTATTCTCCCTAAAAATCAATGGAAAAATATCCTCAGGTGAGGGTTGGAAAGAAAGAATACCTTGTGGGTGTGTGTCTGTGGTTCGAGACATCTCTAGCCGTCACTCTCCCACCATCCCCCAGAGCCAGTTCCCTCTACCTGGACCCCCTGCTTCCAAGGGGCCCGTTGCCTTCTGAGGAAGAGCGAGGAGGCCAGTGGCTGACGCCCAGGTGACTGAGGCCCTTAGAGAGTCATGGAAAAACTCTGGACCCTGGTCAGCACCTTCTAGAAGGGGCTGAGCTGAGAGCCATTCAGTCGATGTGTGCTGAGTGCCTGCTTTGGGCCAGGCCCGGTGCTGGGCGAATGACCCTGGCACCAGAGGTGCCATCCCTGCTCCAGGGAGCTGTCAGCGTGGGCAGATGACGACAGCCAAACGCAGCACAGTGGGGGACAGCCACCGGGAGCAGCAGGAGCCCAGACGGAGATGTGTGACAATCTCTCGGGAGCCCCTGCGACACTGCGCTGGGGAGCTGACTGTCGGCTGAGGTGTCCGGCTGACTTGGTGCTTGTCATATGTGCAATAGAAGATAGTTGTGTGTAGCATCCATACTGTGAAAGGCAGGGATTGGCAGGAAGGCCAACCCAGGCCTGGAGGTTTAGTATCAAGAACACCCTGAGCTGCCCGGCCGGCGTGGCTCAGTGGTTGAGCGTCAACCTCTGAACCAGGAGGTCACGGTTCAGTTCCGGTCAGGGGATATGCCTGGGTTTTGGACTCGGTCCTTAGTGTGGGACATGCAGGAGGCAGCTAATTGATGATTCCCTCTCATCATTGATGTTTCTATCTCTCTCTCCCTCTCCCTTCCTCTCTGAAATCAATAAAAAAATATATATATTTTTTAAAAAAGAACATTCTGAGCTGGCCCTAGCTGGTTAGGCACAGTGGATAGAGTGTTGGCCTGCAGACCGAAGGGTCCTGGGTTTGATTCTGGTCAAGGGCAGGTACCTTGATTGCAGGCTCCTCCCTGGCCCGGGTCCTGGTCGGGGCTCATGCAGGAGGCAACCAATCGATGTGGTTCTCTCACATCGATATTTCTCTCTGTCTTTCCTTCTCTCTTCTATTCTCCCTAAAAATCAATGGAAAAATATCCTCAGGTGAGGGTTGGAAAGAAAGAATACCTTGTGGGTGTGTGTCTGTGGTTCGAGACATCTCTAGCCGTCACTCTCCCACCATCCCCCAGAGCCAGTTCCCTCTACCTGGACCCCCTGCTTCCAAGGGGCCCGTTGCCCCCACCCTCTGTACTGAACATGCTGCGTGGTTTGCCTCTGGTGCATTGGGAGGGAGATCTGAGCCCAGTGATTATCAGAATAGCTTGTTTCCACGTGTGCGTTTACTTTTAAAAGGAAGAGAGAACTGTTGTGCACATGGTGTTCCTCCATCTGTTCCCAGAGGCGCAGTCGCTCCTGTGGGGTACCTGCTACTAGATTTCATAGCACAGCAGTTCTCAACAGTCTTGGTCTTTGGGGTCATGAA